GTTTCTGTAATGCTAATAATATTCAAGAAATGAGAGATACAATAATCTTCCCAAACTTGCTGTTTAAGGTTTTCATTGTATCCTCGAACATTGTGGATACAGATTGTAAGATTTAGAAATGAGGTGTTAGAGGTTCTTGGTTGTGTTAAGCTACTAGGGAAAGAAGCTAAAGGTGCTGATATAGAAAAGACAGATGTTGATGTGTTTGATTTTAGTTGAATGTTCGGGTAGTGCCAGATGGTTTGAACTGGTAAAATAAAGTAATTAGATAATAGTTTAGCTTCAAATGGAAGATAAACATAAGCTTTACTATAATCTTTTTTAATAGAAATATTAGTATATAGTCACAAGCATTATCAGGTGAATATCTAAAGCTATGAATGTGTCATAAAAAAGAAATAATAGTTTGAGGATGGGAAAGCAATGGTAGATGGTTGTAAAATAGAAATTTGTTGAAACAGATATTAAGTTGGATGTTGTTGTAGTATTGTTTAGCTATTGTAGTTTCATTATGACCTTCTAGGATAGTTCCTACTAATTGAAAGTAACTGTAGTCTATATTACTTTCCTTTATAATTAGATTAGTATTTGATATATTTTTGTTTATTGGAGAGAATTTGGAAGAAATAGGTATAGATGGATAATAAGTATAGCCTGATAGTTGTGAAAAGAAATATTCGAGTGAAGGTTAAGGTTCATTTGAAAAATGTATATAGCATTCGATATAGTTAATTTTAATTGTTATTGTAAGTACATATTTGAAGTTGTTTAGTTGTGAATAGTTGTAATGATGAATGTGTTTTAAAAAGGAGCTTAGTGTTTAAGGATGTGAAAGTAGAAATAGGTTCAAACATGCTAATCACACATTGTAGCATGAGTCTGGATCATATAGTGTATTGTAAGATGAGTCTTGTAATTCTTTCTTGGTATAAGATGATGAAATGGAGTTCAAGAAAGTAGAGAGTTCTTCTGTAGATTTGCTCACTGTATGCTTGGCTTGCACAGCTGCACAGGATACCATAGCCTGTCCTGTATGTTGGGTTTGGCCATTATTAATCTAGTCTTTTGTATAGCTTTAGTATTCTTTATAATATTATAAAGTATATTATCTATTGGTATTTTTGTATCTTTTTTAAGATTTTTTTCTTTTTATTGGCTTTTCTTTAACTTCTATTTGTTTTGTATTTGAGTTAATGTTTTTGTTAATTTTTTTTTATTACTATTTTCTTTTTAACATCTTTTTTTTCTAATTGATATATTTACTTCTTTAACTTTTTTAGTTTTTTTAATTCTTTTTATTTTTTTTTATTTTGGATAATTTTTTATTTATTTATATTTGTTATATATTTAATATAACCTAAATATTAATTTATCATTTCAAGTTTTTTTTTATCCATTCATCTGTAATATCTTTTTTAATCACTTATTTTTGTTATATAAAAAACTTTAAAGATTTGATTATAGAACAATAAATTATCAGATATAATATGATTTAGATTACTTAATATAAGATTCTTTGCAATAGATTCTATATTACACAAACTTTTTGCAAATGTTGTTAATTATATTCTATAATATTTAATTTTTAAATCTTGTCTATTAATCTATTTATTTGTATTTTAGATCAGATTATTTTTGTTTAGATAATTTGCATGTTCTTATTTATTATATTATTTATTGTGTTGCTAATTTCTAATTAAATTAGTAGTTTTTTAATTAGAAATATAATTTGTTTTGTTTGTTATTACTTGTTTATATTTATATAATTATGTGTTAAGATTTTCTATTTTTTCAAGTTAGCAACAATTTTTTTAAAATTTCTAAACTTTTATTAAAATTTTAAAGAAGTTTTGTAATTATTACTAGTAATGTTTTATTTTTCTTTGTAATTAATAAAGTATTAATAACTTTTAATCTAAAACTTTATTTTAAATTCATAATATATGTTTTTTTTACTATTTTTTGTTATATTTTTAGTTTTATAATTTTTATTTCTTTTTTAATTTAAAGATTAATAGAAAGTGTTTAATATATATTAAATACATATTAATTTATTACAAATTAGTATTAATTTTTGAATTTGATATTTCTGTATTTTGGCATATATATGTTGTAAGTAGATTTGGAATTATACAGGTTCAGAATCCACTTAAATAGAGTTCAGATCTTAAAATAACTTGAGTAGTAACAGAATTTATATGAATAAAAATATTATATAAAACTTTTAATAAATCAATAGTACATAATGATTATATACAGAATCATACTATATATATTGTATATTAAATTATAAATAAAATAATTGTATTTTTAAATTGTTTTCAACTAAAATATTAAGTGAAGAATATCTATTTATTTCAAAACTAGGCTTTAATAACTTAGTTAATAATTATCTTAAAGAAAGTTAATAAACAGATACTGTAAATGTTTTATTTTATAAACAGATTATGATCTTATTATTTTAGTTCTTCATGAATCTAATAATATAAACTTGAAGACTTCCAAAAGATTAACATTGAATCAAACATACCTTTCAACTTAAAGAATTGAAAACAGAAAATAATATAAATACACAAATTGTTACAATTACAAAAAATGAAAATAAGTCATAATTGATACATACAATATGTTCTTTTAACTGTCTTTATGATATATTATGTAAAATTCATATAGGTATTTTAAAACATATTGGTGCATCAAAGATGTGAGATGTCATAAGTAAACTCTTATAATATCTGATCTATATTTAATAACTATACAGCTTATTTTAAATTTTATAATATTTAGATCAGAAAACAATATACAGTTAGATCTCATTATAGTCACCAATTTGAAAAATGAAATTTAAGTGACTATAAAAAGGTGTGACTATATTAAAAAACCTCTATATAATCATTTTAATAATAAATTAAAATATTTAGTAACTATATAAAAGTAATTAAAAAATTTTTTGAATACTAAATTTGTAGTAATAATAACTAGTTTTTTTATTTCTTTAACACTATAATTGCACAAATCTTTACAGTATAGGTGACATCACTAATAAAATGTATTATTAATCAATTGATTTAAAATAGATATCACCCATACTATGAGAAATTCATTTGCATGTTTCATATCCATTATGGTTAGTCAACCTTAATTTGAAATTGCATGAAATAAGGTTCAGTAATCTCTCAAAAGAATATATTTATTTCTAGGTTTAGGTATAATATGATACTGAAGTGCGACTATTAATGTTATACATAACAATTTCTAAATGCAAAAAGGTTTTTGGCTTTTTAAAGCACAATACCAATGTGGCAGATGGAACTACTTTAAAATAATAATTACATAGGATACCTATTCAAAATGTATGCAAATATAGTTTTCATCATGACTAGAGGTGTTGATGCAATGCTGTAATTAGTTGTAATTATAATAAATTACAGCATTTTTGCTGTAATTTATTATAATTATGACCAATTATGACATTGTATCAACATCTTTAGTCATGGCTTCTTGAATCCTACTAGGTTACCTTACAGCAATATTCTGATTTCCTATTTTATTATTTTAGTTAGATTCTCTTGTCTCTGGTGATCACAATTATCATGTGCCACGAATTTCTGGTAATCAGTTTATAAATTTAGAATTTTAATGCTTTTAAGATTTATTATATTTAATATATGACTACAGATAAATTTACAAGACATATATTAATAATCCAAATAGAAATATAGGTGTCAAGTTAAGCTAATTAAATAATATATTAATTACAGACTAAAGATTATGTGAAGATAATTTCAACTATGAAAAATTGTAACAGCTAAGTTTTGAATAAAAGCAATAAATTCAATTAGTATACTAACAAATTTAAAATTTATTTATATTTATATTCTAAAAAAACAAATATGAGTCTTGTGGATATAATTCTTATGAATCTGATTTTTGTAAATCTGATTTTTGGGAATAGAAGTTTTGGAATATAAATCTTGGAAATATGAATCTTGAAAATATGAATCTTGAAGATCTTGGAAATACAGATCTTGAAAATATAGATCTTAAGGATATGTATCTTGAGAACATGAATCATAAGAATGTGAACCTTGAAAATTAAAAAAACTAGTAATTTTTTTTTGTTTTTTCAACATTTTATTTACACATTTATATTCTTTAAGCAGATTTCTTAAGAATCCTAATTCTTCAAGAGAGAGATTTGACTCTAAATTTTTCTGTTCTTTATAGTGAATAACTATTTGCATTGCATTAAACACTTCAGTAGCTGTTATGGATAGATCAGATACTTTATCTTCATCAATTTCTCATTTGACTAATTCTTCATTTTTATCAGCTTGAACTATAAAAATAATCTCCTTATTATTAAGTATTTCTTCTGTAGCAGCAGGTTCATCAATTAGTTGTAGATATGTTATTGTGGTATGAGCTGTTTCTAGCACATATGAACTTTCATCTGGTAATTTAGCAACTATTTCCTCAATATTATCATTTTTTAATAGAAAATCATCTTCGACAGGCTGATCTACAGTATTAATATCTGAATCATCAGTGTTCAGGAGAATTTTTGTCTTGTTCCAGCAGTTTTGGATAGTTGTATTACTTACATTGTTTTATGATTCTGCAATGAAATCAATTGCTTTTTTTATAGTTATTTTTTTTTTATAAAAAAAAAAAAATTAGTACAAACAATAACAACAAACTATAACGTATTTTCACAAAATAACACACAGGGGCATTATTGTAAATTTTGTCCAAATTAAACTTAATTCAGGCCAAAATTTGAAATAATGCTCCTGCATGTTATTCTATAAAAATATGATAATAATTATATAAAGTTTTCTATATTAGCATTGGATTCGAATTGCTTGAGAACATATTCACAATATAAGCGTTTATATTTTGACTTAAATAACTTGATAATACTGGCATTCATTAGTTGGGTATGTGCAGTTGTGTTGGATAGAAGATAATGCAGAGTAATATTTGTAAGCTTCAACATCTCGGAAGGTTCTCTGTTCTGTCTGTGAGAAGAATTGATGTTGATTCAAGTGTTTCTGGGAGGCCTTTCACATGGTCTTTCATGTGGTCTTCTATATTGTTCTTTTTGTTGCTTTTCAAGTGACCTTTCAGTTTCATCATTGTCTCTAGAGCCAGAGGAGTTATTCATTAAGTCTTCATTTTCAGATCGTTCATTAAGTCTTCATTTTTAGAGTCATTCATTAAGTCTTCATTTTTGGAATTTAACTAATAATTATCTTTTACATTATTAGTGCTAAGTGTTTCATTTGTATTATTAGGTGATTCAGGTAAACTATGAGATGGTGCATTGTTGACAAGCAGCAAAATTTTCTTATTTTAAATGTGAAACCCAGAATCAATATAACATAAATATTTTTTTCAAATATCTGATCGTATTTATCTTTTTCATTATTTTTATAGCTAACTGGAAGCTGAAACAAGTTTATATTACTAAAACTTCAAGGCTTTTTTGAATGACCAATAACTAGAGGCTGAAGTTTGTGCAAGCCAGTTGCATTTGCAGCAAGTAGAATCATAACCTGTAATTTATCCTGTAATAGCATATTATTATAAGTATAGATTAATTAAATACTGTCTTCTTTCTCTATAATAACACAGTTTGTATTATGCAAATTGTGTTTTTGTATAAAGGCTTTTACTATAATATGCTTATATAAAAATTTTTTTATAAGTTTTTTAGTAAAGTGTTACAGACTTTGGCATGATTATAAAGAGTTTTACTATAATGTGATTATATAAAAAAAGACTATATAGGAGAACAATAGTATTAAAAATGTTTTTTTTGGTTTTTTATCAACCTGTTTTGACTCAGCAATAAACCGCTTCACTAATGTTTAGTTTGGTAACATTCGATAAAACAACCCTGTTTCATCAGCATTGTATACATCTTCCAACTTATATTGAAAAAAAAGATTCTAAAGCTTTTTTCTTTTATTTGGCAGAAATTACAAAGGTGCACTTGTAGCTTCACTGTGAAGTTTATATCGACACAAAGAATTTTATTTTTTATAATTAGTTATCCACCTATTTGAAAACTTTAGTTCATCTTCTGAAATGCCAAAAAGTCTTCCAAATTCATAACCCTTGAATTTTACCAATTCATCTGTAAGAATTAGACCTGCAGCTAAAACTTAGCTAACTCCAAATATTTATTGCTTTCTCAATTAAAAGGTATTTTGGTCCTCTATTTTTATACTGATTTTGTATTGTAGTATTTTCTTCAATATGCAGATACTGATCTTTTTTTTTAAAAATTTTAGAAAGAGTTGATCATTTGAGATTTAATTCAGGATATCACCTATTAAATTCATCCACAATATCTTGGTGTTTTGCAAATAGGTTATTAATATGTTATTCACAAATTTGTTTGCGTTAAGCATTATTTAGTTGGCTATGTGTTTTTTTGGATAATGAGTTAGGAAGCATAATGAAAAAAAAGTTTATTGTCACTTGAGATAGGATTCAGTTGGGTGTTTTTATTAATTTTAAAATTTACTCTTTTTATAATTATTTAGAAGTGCATTCAATTTATTGCTGTTTTTGAATTAGTGTGATAAGTGAATTTTGTGAATCTATTGTTAAAATAATGGTAAAATGCAGGATTCATAGAATTTACCAAAACCTATTACACTAATTCGAAAACAGCAATAAAAAAGATTCAAGGTTAAATATATTCATGCATGTAATTCTTAAAAATATGCATTTTTGCTTATATAAATATGCATCAAGAATATTTTATTTATTTTACTTTGGCTCCTAAAATATTTGATTTTATTTAATCTCACCATTTTCTTATTTTTCTTATTTTAGATTTTCACAAGCAATACTTCAGCCATTCTGGAACCTTGCCATTTCAGCATCTCTAATCTACTATGTATATTTTTAATCAGATACTGTATTCTGAGATGCCATTAAACTGTTTGGACATATTGATGGCATTATTTTCTGATTAACTCTAATTATTCAAACAATGTTGCCATCTATTCAAACAATGTTACCATTTATTGAGCCTAGCTCTGATAGTTGACATTGATAAGGAAATCAGTACTCGCAAGCATAGTTATTAAGATTAAAAAGTGTCTTGTATTATGTATTTTAAAGGTTTGGGCATCAGTTTCAGACATCCCTATCAAGAATGTACCCACCTCAAATAATAAAAATCAATTAACAAGTAGATGCATTCTTGATAAAGGTGTCCAAAAGTGATGTCCAAAATCTGTAATTAAGTATTTCACAATTACTAAAAGGAATTGCATGCATCGATACTTAGAATTTATACAGCATGCATTATCGACTATTATTTTGAAGTTGTATATGTTGGTGCTTGCAGCAACAGAGAGAATCATTAATGTTATATGACTGATTCTTCATCCAGTATGCAACATATAAAAAAATTATTTTACAATACCAGATTATGACATAGTACATGTTATTATTATAATCCATACCATTTTTATTATAATAAAATGGTATAGAATTATATCATAACATATACTAGTAGTATGATCTAGTATTGTAAAATAATTTTTTTATATGCTGCACACTGAGTGAAAGATCAGTCATGCAATATTAATGGTTTCTCATGTTGCTTGCAGTGTCTGAATAATTCATACTAACTTTATTTAGTTTTTCAAGATAAATTAAAATAACTAAGATAAATTTGGTATGTAGATATGCATGTTGTAAAGTGGGAAACTAGTTCTGGATCCAATATAAATTGGGACAAGAAACTATGCCAATATAAGTATAGAAAGACATGATCGAATAATTATGACTATTAGAGCTCTAGATAGTGTCATAAGCTCTAATGCAGAAAGAGGTTTATACCAATTAGTACTAGTTTTTTACTAATCAGAAAGGATAATTTGGTTGATTTATTCTCATTGCTATTTTAGAATTAGTTCAATAGTGAATTTTATTAATTTCATGAATTTTGCATTTTACTATTGTTTTAATAATAGTAATATACAGGGTTCATAGGATTTACAAAATCCACTCATTGCACTAATTCGAACACAGTGATAATGATAATAATAATAATTTAAGAAATCAATAGTGATACAACTCTTGTAGGATTATTTCAAAATTCTGGTTAGAATTCTTAAAAATAGGCATATAGTGGTTAAGTTTTTATAGCAAAATTATTTGCTATATATTTTTGCTTATGAATAGGCTATGATTTTATAAAATTTTTGGTTGTCTTGAGTTTTCAGCCACTTATTAAGGGTTTAATATATTTTGTTCAGAATTTTGGAATTTTTCTGTAAGTTTTCCTGTATTATTGCTAGGTTGTTGATGCAGATGGCATGCTACTGACATGATGCTATAAATTTATATATGGCATGTCAACAATTATAAAATAAATTAATAAAATTTTCAAGATTAATTGGATTTTTACAATATGTTTTTAGATTAAAATAATGTTTTATTATTGTTTAAAACTGTATATTATGTAACTAAATAGCTGCACAAGGTTATCGCACAAAACTAGGAATAGAAATTATGAACAAAAAATAAAGTTATACATATTTAATTAAGATTTTCAAGAATTACAACCTTTAAGTTATAACTCTCTTGGCAATATGCATTTTTATAACATATATAAGCAAGCTAATTACAGCACCCTTAGGCAGTGAGACATTGTCAAGTAGTATATACTAGTACCATGTATGGCACTTATGCACTACTGATCTTACTCAGTAGTACCTATCCTGCTTAGTAGTTGCAATTTTAATTTCGCAAAGGTTCAGTTTAGATTATGAATGAATATAAAATACGAGCAAGATGAAGGAAAATTCTTTAATTAGATTTCAAAAAAATTTCCAAAATAGATTAAATTTATATCTGTCTATCGCATAATTAACTTTGGCCAAATCGCATAATTTTGGATGCACATTAAATGCTGTAAAACTATATACTATATGTTATGCTATATATAACACTCTGTTCCTGGTATTTTTTGTGACTATATTGAGGTAATTTAATAAAGTTGGTTATAAAAAATTATGTGGTAATGACTATAGTAGATTTGTGACTATTTTGAGATTAATATAATATAAATTAGATTGGTAAAAAAAAAACTGTGATTATAATAAGGTTGTAACTATAATGAGAGTGATTATAACAAGGTCTGACTGTAACTATATTTTATAGTCATTTATTAAAAAATTTTGTAAAGTATATAAAACATGTGTCACATGTTGATTATTTTCAAATGATTTTTCTGCCAAACTAATTGTAGCAAAAATTTTTTTTCATGTGTTTAAGTTAATCTACTTAAATTAATATTTTAACCTGTTAATGAATATAAATATATTTGTCATATTTATAACTATTTTATCTACTTTTCATAATTCTAATGTTTTACAAGCAAATGTGTTTCTAAAGTAGCAATATTTCTTTATGATATTTTTACAGTATTTGGAACTCCTATAATTTTACAATTTGATAATACTAAAGAATTTGTTGCTAATTTTATTTCTGTACTAATGACTTTTTGGCCAGGTGCATATATTATTAATAAGCACCCAAGGCTCCACAATCATAAGAAATAGTTAAAAGAATTAATAAAAGTCTGTAAGTTAAGCTTGAAAAATGGATGAAGAATAATCAAACAAATAATTTTTTTTTTTTTTAAATATTAATGATGAGGTCATGCCTTTAACTTTATTGAAATTCAATTGAAGTTTTTACAAAGAAAAGCTTGCTTTTAAATTACATATGA